TTCCTGATTGGTGCAAAATCAATCGCGTTGAAGAGGCACGATGGACAGTTCAAGAGATGAGAGGACACGGTCCAGTTTTATTGTTGCCGAAATGACTTTCGAAAAGTTCATGAACTCCTTGATGAAATGGCTGTCCAAGGTTGTCCTCCCAATGTTGTTACTTTCACCACTGTAATGGGATCACTAGCAAAGGGAGAGAGGTTTGAAGAAGCTTGGCAACTTGCTTTGAGAATTAAAACTGCAGGATGTAGACTCGATTTGCTTTTTTACAACTGCTTGCTCCATATAATCTGCCGAGCAGGCCGAGTGAAAGATGCATTAATGTTTTCAAGGTAGATATGCCAAAGACCTGTGTTCCCCTCAATACATTGACATATAATTGCATGATCGCGATGCTTTGCCATCATGTTCAACAACAGAAGGCCCTATCTCTTCATCAGGACTCGGAGAATCCGAAAATTTGCAAGCCCGAAGTTCAGACATATTATCCCTTGTTGAAGTCATGCTTTAAAACTGGGAAGATAGATTCTCTTTGACCAACCTATTCAATGACATGGTTAAAAGCATCATCGAAGTCTTAATATTTCTTCCTACTCTATTGATTCATGGACTTTGTAGAGCAAACAGATGTGAGTGGGCTTACAACCTGTTTGAAGAGATGATTAGTAAAGACATAACACCGAATCATTGGACTTGTCGTTTACTTTTAGATGAAAATTGAAGGTTTCATGAAGAAATTACGAACTTCTCCAAGTGAGCATCTATCCTGGGATGGTGTTTATATTTGTATCTAATGTTTTCACATGTTCATGCTCACTCAAATTCGTTTGTTGGTATTATTAGAAATTTGGTTCCGGATCAGTCAGCACTTTCATTACGGGGTGTTTATCGTGTTTCAAAAAAAAATGTTTGATAGAATGTGCAGTACCACCGATTATAAATTTTATGATCTCCTTTTCTTTTTCGATGTAGGATTTATGCCTCCACCTTTTCAAGATGTGACATTCTTTTCCACTCAACCTTGTGACGAGGGCGTCACGAGTCTTTGTCAAGATTGTCCATCCTACCTATCTCACCCATTGGGATGTTCAATGTGAAATCAGAAAATTAAAGGATCATTCTGATGCCACTTATCACGAGGTCATTACTCTTTTCTCAAAAGACATATGATAGGATGTGAAATATCATCAATCATAAACTTCACGATCTCTCTTTGATGCTACATTTATGTCCTCACCTCTCCAGGGCATGACACTGCTTTTTTCTAACGCTAATTTAGAAACCGAGGTTGGCTGATTCCATATTAGTTATTACCAAATAGTTCTATAGATGTTAATATCATGTAACTACGATAGAATCCATTGTCTTTTAGCAATTGATAAGTGCAAAATCTAGGGCCGATAAGGAATCATTTTTGTAAATTGTTGTTTTTATCGACATACTGCTTCTGTCCAGCAATTTCTCAGTATATGCTTAGCTTTTATCATGTTTCTTTCCATGTCTAGGATTGTGCGATTCTTTCTTTCTGTCACTCCATTTTGTTGGGATGCGTATCTAACTGTCAGCTGATGGATGATGTCATGCTCTTTACAGAAGTCCTCAAATAAATTTGATGTATATTCGCCTCCTCTATCTGATCTGAGTATTTTTAAGCATTAGTCGCTTTGCTTTTCCGCTATTGTTTTAAATTCTTTCAATTTTCCAATGCTTCTGATTTTTCTTTTAAGATATAAATCCAACACTTTCTACTAAAATCATCAATAAAAGTTAGGTAATACATGTTACCTCCAAGTGATGAGATCATAAGGACCGACTATATCTGTGTGTACTATCTCCAAAGGCCTCTGGGCACACCCGGATTTACCAACTTCAAAACTTTGTATGTGTTGTTTCTTTAAATGCAAGCCTCACATAATTCATTTGGGGGATTGATCTCTGGCAATTTTTTCACCATACGTGCTTTTGATAATAGCTTCAAGCCCGAAAATCCAAGATGTCTATATCTTAGGTTCCATAGCCACGAATCATCTTTTATCGCAATTTTCATTCACATTACTTCTCTTGACTCGATGTCGATGGTAAAGAGCTGATTTCGAGTCATATCAACTTTGGCAATTAATTCTTCATCTTTATTTTTTTGATATCTACCTCGACCTCGGCCTCTAAATCCTCGTCCACGGCCTCATGTCTGTTAATTTTCACTTGTTTGAGTGGTGTCGTATGATCGACCACCACGTCCTCGTGTTCCTCTTCCACCTCTATTTCTTCCACGATAACCACCACGGTTTCCTCGGTCTCATGTGGAGTTGTTTCTGGCTTCACCTTCGTTGACATTCATCTTGCTTTGCAAGACTTGTTCTAAATTTCAGTATATTCATTTTGTTTCATCTTATGCTCATGGGCTTGGAGTGAGCCCACAAGCTATCGATCAATATTTGAGATAAATCTTTCGATTCTTCTATTGCCACGACCACGCAATCCAATTTTCTTGTTAATAATTGTAAAAAAAATTCCATCACTCTAACCTAATCGAGTGATTCACTATTTCTCTTCATTTCATTCACTACCGCTTTACACGACTAATGTAATCATCGACGTTTTCGTATTTTCATTTTTAATATTCAAACCCACCTCTAAGATATTGTAAACGTACCTTTTTTGCTTTTTCAGCACATTGGAGAGATTTTTGTAAAATCTCCCACGCTTGCTTTGCGGTCTTTACATCATAAATTTTTTCAAAGGTAGATTCGTCTACTCCTTGAGAAAAAAAAACAACGCCCTCTTGTCTTTCTTGTGGGATTCCTTCAGTGCCATCTTTTCTTCATTGGTCAGGGCTGCTTCTGCTACTGCATTTTCGGGTTTAGTGTAACTTTCTTCGACGATATCCCAACACTCTAGGAAACCTAGAAAACGCCTTCATTTAAATGCTCAAATTGTCATAGTTTGTCTTTGTCAATCTCGAAATTTGTGGCTGAATCATGTTGGTCATATTTACCATTGCATAAACTTAAACCAAGCTCTAATACCGCTTGTTGGAAGCGTGAATGGGCACTCAGTAATTTACAATTCACACGTTATTATTAATACGAACCAAAATATAAATACGATACAAAAACTAGCTGCGACTAGTTCTCAAACACAACCCCGCTATCTAAGACTTTGCTAAGCTCTCTCTCATATATATTTTTTATCTCACTTTCACTCTCATACATCCATCCTAAACTAAAGCTACAGCACACATTTATAGCCTTGGTTTCACCGTCTTTGTTTGCTGCAAATCCATGTCGTATTTATCTTTAATTCTATGATTTATGTACTTAATTGATAAGAACTATATTAGATGCTGCCAACTCACCAAATTGGTGCTTCATGTACTTTTTGCTTTGTTGTTAATCTCTTTTGTTGCTGCCGCGTTCATCCTAGTTGATGCCTTGATCAAGTTTGCTTGTTTCCCTGTGGTCTTTTATTTTTTCCAACCACTGCAATCTTTTTACTAACTCTACCAATATACCCATAGAGATCTAAGACAAAAAAACAACTGTTCAACTGATATATTGGATGTAAATCGTTCACAAACAACCCCTATTCTGACAACAATATTGTTGGAACCATGAATGGTCACTCGGTAATTTATAATTCCCAAATTATTATTAATACGAACTAAAATACAAATATGATACAAAAACTAATTGCGGCTAGTTCACAAACACAACCCGCTATCTAAGACTTTGCTGAACTCGCACTTTCACTCTCATAAATCCATCCTAAACTAAAGCTACAACACATTTATAGCCTTGGTTTCACCGTCTTTGTTTTCTGCAAATCCATGCCGTATTTATCTTTAATTCTATGACTTATCTACTTGATTGATAAGCATTGTATTAAATGCTGCCAACTCACCAAATTGGTGCTTCATGTAATTTTTGCTTTGTTGCTAATCTCTTTTGTTGCTGCCGCGTTCATCCTAGTTGATGCCTTGATCAAGTTTGCTTGTTGTGCTATCACATTTCTTTAAACACCAAATTTGCCGCCTCAAATAACTGTTGTAAGTTCATCCACGATTCAAGATGCTTAATCATCAACTTGTCAATTGTATCCATTCTTTTAATTTGCATAATTCATGAAGCTTCTGTCCATATAACTGCTGCCATCATTTGCCAAGTGTGTTGCCGACACAAAAATTTAGTTTGATTTCTATCAAACACCTGGAGGAGACACAACTGTTAATGTGTTCCCATCAGTGGATGGCATAGCTAACTCAACAGAAGCTTCTTTCAGCTCAACGCACCTCCACAAGCCTGAAGACCAACCAAGAGAACTTTGAACTCCACTTAATCTAGCAGTTGTTTGCAAAGATAAGCTGAGTTGTGATGCTCCAGCAGTCCATTTCGATGATGTTTAATAGTAATATTAAGTGTTTCTAGTCTTTTCTATTATGCCTGGAAAGTTAATTTTCAAGGGATCTACTATTTCCCCCCTTGAATAAAGGCATAAAAAGTTAGGAATCAGTACTAAAAAACTATGACGTGTTTATAAGAGTGATGGTATGAATCTATTAGACTGAGTTACGGATTTAAACGATCTTTGTTCCTCTTCAAGATATCGCAATCAAAGCTTCAGAGGCTAGTGACATTGTCGCAGACAAATTTGTTGCCTTCAGCAACTAGAAACTGATTTTTAAGTGAAACTTTGCACTACAGCCGGGGTTCAATGCAAGCTGCTAGAAAAACATAAAATGTACTGGAAGCATCTTGAGTTTTACATATACAATATTTCAAAAATATTTATTCAAAGTACTATATATATATATATATATATTGTGTTCAGTGCAATGTCGTCTTGCTCCCTTTTTCTTAATTTATTGAAGTTAGTCATTTTTTTTCTTAGTTGGCCTGTCTAGCAGTAAAGCTCCAGCGCACTAATCCCATATGGACAATACACAGCGCCACGCATTCCAGAACAAGTATAAATAGCCGTGAATTATACTTATCAAATCACGCAGCCATGCAGTGATCACAAAGTGAACTATTCTTTCGCCTTTTACTAAAGAATACCGTGTGCTTGCTGCTCAGAGTGGCATACGCCAATTTTTGGAGGGTTATTTCTTTGGAATAAACCCCAAAAATTTGAGTTCTGAAAGATTTTATTTTCATTGAGAACCTATTTTTCTGCGATATATTTTTTTCTTTGCTGTTTTGTACACTGTTCCTGAATTTTGCTTAATCATCTCAAAATAAAGCAACGAGTCAGAATTCAGAACATTGAGTTTGAAAGGAACACTTTGAGATGTGGGAGAATGTTTATGATTCGACGAAGAAATTGAGACTTATGTTCTTCCCAGACAAAATCTGGGTTTTACCTTGGTCACATATTTCTATGATTACTGCTCAAATTTAGTAAGATCATTTCAAGCTACTGTTAGTGGTAAATCTCTTCTTTTAAATTTAGCAGTTTATCGTGGTACATTCATGGAGTGTCTGCTAGCAATCGGTTCTTTCCGGCCTAGGTAATACAGTATAGGAATAGGGGTACGGATCCTGCCTATGGAGCTGTCTTTGTTACTATTTTGGTGATGTTGACAAACATCCAAGTAGGGAAGAGAAATTTCAGTCCAAGATCATGGAAGTCGAGGGTTCAAGAACAAAATCAATTTTAGAGACTGTAGAAAGCATGGGAGTCTTTAACTACACTCATGAAAACCCAAGTTCTTGAAGAAGCTTCTTCAACTTAAGAGAAACCGAGAGAAATCGGCTTAAGAAGTATCTATATACATGTTGCTATCGAAATCTAGACAGAAGAATATGTCTAGGACACTAGCGATGTCAAATTGGCCCCTATCTCTTTGATTTATTGAAGTTACAGTCTTTTTTTCCCTTAGTTGGCCTGTTTAGCAATAAAGCTTCAGAGCAGTAATCCCACACAGACAATACACAGCGCCACGGATTCCAGAACAAGTATAAATAGCCGTAAATAAGAAATATCAAAGCACGCAGTCACTCTAGGAGCACATAGTGAATTATTCTTTCGCCTTTTACTGAAGAATACCGTGTGCTCGTTGCACAAAGTGGCATACGCTTATTTTTGGAGGGCTTATTCTATGTAATGAGCCTCAAAATCTTAGTTTAAAAATTTTATCTAGAAAGTCCCACCTTCTCGATTTGTTTTGGAACTAGAGTGGAGTTTCATTGTTAGTTAGAGCTAATGAAGGGTTTTCATTAGGATGTATGTAATACTCACTACTGGGATCATCATTCTTGAATATACGACTTGAATCTGCTGAATTTGTATAATCCGAATTCTCTGATATCATATCAAAGTTTGTCTAAACCAGAAAAATGAATCTCTATTATTACTTTTGAACTGATCTTTTATACTTATATATAGCTGTTGATATCAACTAATTCTAACTTCTTCCTAACTATCTAACTCACTCATACATTCTGTTAATCACTGGTAATACCATTTGTGGACCTCACCGTAAGGCTTGAGAAGTCTGCATCGTATGATGAGATCAAAGCTGCTATCAAGCAAGTCTTATTATAATTTGTGGAAACCATTGTCTTCATGTTATATCAAATAAATCTTATTCTTATCCGTAACCTGATGATTTCAGGGCAGAGTCCGAGGGCAAGCTTAAGGGAATTTTGGGTTACATTGAAGAAGATGTTGTCTCCACAGATTTCATTGGTGACAGCAGGCAAGTTCCATCTAACGAGTTCTAGTTGCTGCATTTTATTTATATAAATTCCAAAAATTTCCTGAAATCGAACGTTGATACAGGTCGAGCATATTTGATGCCAAGGCTGGTATTGCTCTGAACGGAAACTTTGTGAAACTCGTTTCCTGGTATGACAACGAATGGGGTTACAGGTAAAAAGCATGCTTCCACTTTATTTCCTTTTGAAGTATGGCATTATTTTGACAAAGCTTGTCTTGTTTGCACTTCCCGTGTGATTGATTTGATCGTCCATATGGCATCCACCCAAGCATGTTGAAGTTTTTTAAAGCCAGTTGAGTTGTGTTTAAAAGCAGCTGCTTGTTATTTGGAATAAAACCAAGATTGGATGTGTTTTCATTTCTGCATTTTTGAAGGTGTAGATGAACTATTTTACTAGTTTAATGTTATGACGTAAACGGTGTTTATGCATCGCGGGAAAATTCCATGCACTTAGCTGGCACACGCCTTCACCACTCGACCAAAGCGACTGACTGCAACAGATTGGTGCGCTTTGCATAAATCCCATTTCATTGCCGAACCCCTTCTTTTTCCTGACAGAGACAGAGTTGGAGATAGGCCCAACAGATATGGCAAGCTCTTGATAGTACATCTCCCACTCCACCCGACGCAATTGATTTCGAAGATCTTCCCATCCCAAAGCTCTTGTTTTTCAAATCAGGTTAATTATGTTGCATTTTTCTGTTTTAATTCGACATTTAAGACTGAAATCCAGAAAACCCAAATTTAATAAGATTTGTCCTTCTTAACTAGTGATTTCATCTTTTTTTCGTAAGAAGTTTCTCAGGTTGTCACCCATCCTGTGTATGGAAGATATTTGATAGAATGCCTGAACCAATATGGAATTCTGAGTTCATTTATGCAATGTAATTGTAATGTCATCAAACTTGTTCATATGTTTGTCGCATCATGGCTGCCACCATATATGGGTTAACAGAGTAGTTAGCTATGTCAGCATTTCTCACCCAAATTCAGCTTGAAACTAAATAATAGTATCACAGTATGAAGGCTTAAGTGAGACATTTTCTATAGTTTTGGGGCATAGTTAATTATTTTGTTGTTATGTATTTTTGATAAGCTAAATAGAGAGGCTAATGCTTTTATTCGTTGGAGATGCAGTTTTAAGGACCCGACTGAATTTTGTTTAGAGGGCAGTTCTCCATGATTTACCCTTTACAGAACTGCCTTAGAAGTACTTCGTTCCTGTTCAAACCATCAATATTATGTTTCCTTTTCCGTGCATACTCTGAAAGTTCCACTCTTGCTTTGCCTGTGGAATCTTCTCGCTTCACCGGATCGGATGAAGTCGTGGGATGATTTGACGTTGACATTCTCTTCAGTAAAGTTCATGCTCGGAGCAATGAGGATGAAATTTTCCAGTCTCTAATGAATGATCACTCTATGCAGCTTTCCCATGGCCTTGCTGAAAAGTTGCTGCATGGTTCAAGGATGACTGGAAATCCATTGGGTGCTTTTAGATGGGCAGCTTCACGCCCAGGCTATAATCGCTCTCGTCAAGCATATGATATGATGGTTGACATCCTCGGTAAATGAAACAAATAGATCGAATGAAGGATTTCTTGGAGGAAATGTGTCAAGGTCGCCTTGTTACGCTTAACACGATAGCCAGGGTTATGAGAAGGTTTGCTGGTGCAGGGAAATGGGAAAATGAGGATTTTTGATGAACTGGAAACTTTTGGATTGGAGAAGAATACAGAGTTAATGAACTTGCTGCTTGACACCCTTTGCAAATAGAAATATGTTGAAGAGGCCCGTGAGATTTTCTTGCTGCTTAAATCACACATTGCACCTGATGCTTACACATTTAATATCTTCATTCCTGATTGGTGCAAAATCAATCGCGTTGAAGAGGCACGATGGACAGTTCAAGAGATGAGAGGACACGGTTGTCACCTGTGTGTCATCAGCTACTCAACTATCATGCAGTTTTATTGTTGCCGAAACGACTTTCGAAAAGTTAATGAACTCCTTGATGAAATGACTGTCCAGGGTTGTCCTCCCAATGTTGTTACTTTCACCACTGGAATGGGATCACTAGCAAAGGCAGAGAGGTTTGAAGAAGCTTTGCAACTTGCTTTGAGAATTAAAACTGCAGGATGTAGACTCGATACGCTTTTTTACAACTGCTTGCTCCATATAATCGGCCGAGCAGGCCGAGTGAAATATGCATTAATGTTTTCAAGGTAGAGATGCCAAAGACCGGTGTTTCCCTCAATACATTGACATATAATTGCATGATCGCGATGCTTTGCCATCATGCTCAACAACAGAAGGTCCTATCTCTTCTTCAGGACTCGAGAATCCAAAAATTTGCAAGCCCGAATTTCAGACATATTATCCCTTGTTGAAGTCATGCTTTAAAACTGGGAAGATAGATTCTCTATTGACCAAACTATTGAATGACATGGTTAATAAGCATCATCGAAGTCTTAATATTTCTTCCTACTCACTATTGATTCATGGACTTTGTAGAGCAAACAGATGAGTGGGCTTACAACCTGTTTGAAGAGATGATTAGCAAAGACATAACACCGAATCATCGGACTTGTCGTTTACTTTTAGATGAAAATTGAAGGTTTCATGAAGAAATTATGAACTTCTCCAAGTGAGCATCTATCGTGGGATTGTGTTTATATTTGTATCTAATGTTTTCACATGTTCATGCTCACTCAGATTTTTTTGTAGGTATTATTAGAAATTTGGTTCTTGATCAGTCAGCACTTTTATTATGGGGTGATTATCGATTTTAAAAAAAAATGTTTGATAGAATATGCAGTACCACCGATTATAAATATTATCATCTCCTTTTTCTTTTTCCATGTAGGATTTATGCATCCACCTTTTCAAGATGTGACATTCTTTTCCACTCAACTTTGTGCCGAGGGCGTCACAGGTCATTGTCACGATTGTCCATCCTACCTACCCTACCCATTGGGACGTTCGATGTGAAATCAAACAATTAAAGGATCATTCTGATACTATTTGTCACGATATCATTACTCTTTTATCAAAAGACATGATAAGATGTGAAATATCATCAGTTATAAACTTCAAAATCTCTCTTTTTCTTTTTGATGTGACATTTATGTCCTCACCTCTCCGGGACGTGACACTGCTTTTTTCTAACGCGATATCGAGGTAGGCTGATTCCATATTAGTTGTTACCAAATAGTGCTATAGATGTTAATATCATGTAACTACGTTAGAATTCATTGTCTTTTAGCAATTGATAAGTGCAAAATCTAGGGCTGATATGGCCATCAACATAGATGAAGGGAATCATTTTTGTAAATTGTGATTTTTATTAACTCAGATCTCATAGTTTTCAGTTGCACTTTTGTCGTTGACTATCTGGGAAACATAGGGGAGGCAGCATCACATGATCTTTGTCTGAATCTCATGATTAAGTACTAATAAAGTAAGCCTTTTTACTGAAATTCATAACCTCGTGATCCAATGTTGCAATCACTGCATACAATATAATAAAAGTAAAACACCCTCCTCTTGGCCCTGCAGGTGCAGGCTTTCATATATCCAATTCGGGATACCTTCGATGGAATTCGTTTCTTAAGAGAAGTGAGTAAGCTACTCAAGTTAAGTTTCGGGTTTCGGGTTTCAAGAGGTAGTATTCGATGCTACATTATTCTGAATAGTGATTAAGTTTCGGGTTTTTTTGGCATTGTGTTCGTATCATGTTCGAATTTGTTCGATTCAATTTTAATAATAACGGTGGAAATCGAAGTTTAAAAAAAAAAGGGAAAACGTCAAAATTGCAGAAAGCAAAATTAAATGTTTGCCGTTTGTTTTTGTACTTTTCCACGAAATTATCGTTAAAAAAGAGAAGGAAAAGAACATGAGAAGGATGTGCATTCCATTAATCTGCCAAGAGATAGAATACAGCAGTACGTCCAAAGTTGGGCTACTGAGCCTAAAAGTCACCGACTTTATTAGCCGAAGAACCTGCGTCAGTTGTTTGAAGTTTATGAAACTAATTTTATTCATACATATTATTTATCCAATATTTTATTTGTTTAAGGTTTGAAGTTTACTATTGTCATTGTAAATTAAATATATAATTAGATATTTTTTATTGCATTGAAATTAGTTGCTTTAGATCATACGAACCATACTAGAAAAATATAAAAACTTAATTAAAAGATCCAAACAAAAAATAGATATAAACAAATTCGATTGCATCAACAAACGAACTACAAAAGAATATTAAGTTATTGAAAAACCACCGAGAATCGTAAATCAAAGTTGAGCATTATGAGAAACTATCTACAAATACAAAATCACGTATCTAAATTCAATCCAAGAGTTTATGACAATGTATGATTACAAATAATCGTCATCTTATCAATCCTGACATCTTCAAATTCAATAATGAGAAAACATAAAAAAAATTAAAAAAAAAAATTCTCTTAACAACCACAAGATTCCTTACGATTTCCCTCTTGATGCTTTACAAGTTTATTTAGAAAAATATATTTTTGCTCATTTTTTCTATAGACCACAACTTTAATTTGGCCTTATCTTTGTAATTAAAAAAATCCTAAAAAATAAGTAGAGAAAGAGAAGAGAATCGGACATTAAAACTGACCACGTAGTTGTTAAATACAATTAAAGAAAAATAAATTAATATAATATATAAAAAAAACTATACAATTTTTTTTTTTAAAAAGTGAGCGGCTAAATTTAGTATTTAAACATAATAATTTAACTTTTAATATAATTTATAAAATTTTAGATTTTTAGATTTTATCATTTTTATTTGTATAATTATAAAATTGAGAGAGATTTAAGAGTTAATTACGCTCATTTTATATTTGATTTATTTATATTATAAAAAAATTACTTGAATTAAAATAAAATATCAATTAAATTGATTTGAAAAACATAATAATTTAATTTAATTAACTTGAAGTTTTAATATCTCATTTAAAAAATTGAATCACTTTTGTTTCTCCATACTTTCGTATTTGTATCTAAGAATGAAATTTAAATAATAATAAAATAAAATTTTAATAATATATATTTTTTATACAAGCCCTATTATCATATTTATTGATTTATTAATTCAAATTGAATATCACCTATATTTTTTATTAAACCATTTTTTTCAATTTAGTTTATTTTTTTTT